TACGGTACATCAAGGCCTGTCCCGGGCAAGGATTGTTTCTTCCAGTACAGAGTGATCTTACCCTTAAAGCTTTCTGTGACTCTGATTGGGCTGGGTGTCCCTTGACTCGACGTTCTGTTACTGGTTATTTTATCACTCTTGGCGATTCTCCGGTCTCTTGGCGAACAAAGAAACAAAGTGTCGTTTCCCGATCTTCGGCTGAGGCCGAATACAGGGCTATGGCAACCACTGTTTGTGAACTAAAATGGCTGAAATCCCTGCTTTTCTCCCTTGGTGTGCGTCACAAACAACCCATGCGGTTGTTTTGTGATAATCAGGCAGCCCTCCATATTGCAGCTAATCCTGTCTTCCATGAGCGTACGAAACACATTGAAATTGATTGCCACTTTGTGCGTGACGAAATCCAACGAGGTGTTTTGTGTACTCGCCACATCTCCACCAATGAACAACCGGCAGATCTCTTTACAAAGGCTTTGGCTTCCGCTCCATTTTCCCATTTGCTGTCCAAACTGGGCATCCAGAATCCGCATGCTCCAGCTTGAGGGGGGGTGTTGGGCGGTGCTCCTTGGACCACACGGCAAGAAGGAGAGCAAATCCCATTCTAAGTGGGATTGCTCTTGATTTGTTTCCTTGTTCATATTTAGTGATTTGTTTCCTTGTAGGAATAGAATTCCTTTTGTGTTTTGGTCTTTATCCTCTTCTATAAATAAAGGAGAAACTCCTTGTACTTAGCAGAACAATTCAATATACAGAATATTTTTTCCCTCTTATCAAATTCTACAAATATAATGACAGTACGGAGTATGTATTACAAAAAAAATTGGGTTTATTATCGTACGTTTTAAATTTTTGGTTGAATTAATTCTTTAATCCTCTTTAAAACAAACCACAACATGACACCTAATGCGTGTACTTTTTAAGAGAAAAAAAACTCAAGGATTCCTAGTACTCAATCTCTTTTGTAACATGGGAAACCTTAAACAAGAAGCCTTTGTTAACATGGGAAACCTTAAACAAGAAGCCGCCCCTCATCTTTTGGAGGTCAAATGGTACGTACGACCGAGATTGTGTGGATTAGCATAACGTACACTTATAATAACATAATCTAATCTTAGATATACTCTTCTCATAATTATTGTATCTCAGGATTCAGGGAATAGATAATGAAAAAAGCACTTGGGAGAAAGAAAAATCTGTGGCCATTGCATTGGCCGGCATATACTAAGAGGGTGTTTGAGAGTGTGGTGAGTTATGTAAAAGTAGAAGTCGTAATTTAAAAGCAGAAAGCATGTATTTTTAGCTTTGCTATAAAGCACTTTTAAACCTTAATTTTACTTTCTAAAGCCATAATTTATAAGGTAAAACAGATTAGCAAACATTCAAAATTGTGTTTTAGTAAAGTAGAAGCTATAAGTTATTTTCAAATGCAATTCCAAACACCCTCTAATCATTTGGATTTTGAGAGGTATTCAGCTGACATCTCGATAATTTTTGTTTATATTTTCATTGATTCTTTAATAAAGAAATATTCTTGTTTTATAAAACTTTTATTGTAATCTTAAAATACTTAATTTTATTTTGTACATATATATTGCTTGAAGTGAAACAATTATTTTGAGATCGAAAACAAAAGTATATATAAACACCATGCACAAAGTATGTACACAGTAAAACCAAATCTAGGGATGGTCGGCTAATGAAGTTGCAAACCCACAGCCACCAGACCATTCTGAATTGCATGCTGACGACTTAAGACCACAATGCCCCTCATGTGTCATCATCATATATTCATAGCCTCCTAAAAAAGTCATTAACTCTATCTCCTTTTATAATTGGATAAAGCTACTTCTACTCCAAGAATTTGTACTCCATTTTGTACACCGTACCGTATGGTTGCACGAACATTTTGTGCTAGTGTAATGCTAATTTTTGTTAACGCACTAATACTTTGTGTCAGTGTAAATTTTTATTAACGGACCAACACTTTGTGTCACTGTGAACCATCAAAATGTTAGTACATGTTAGTGCATACCTTTGGTGTACAAATGAGGTACAAATTCTGGGGTACATGTAGCATGCTCCTTTATAATTACTTCTCAACCTAAAAAACGACTATTGATTTGACTTTGACACAAAATTTTAAGAAAGGTGAAATTTTGTAGTTGAAATTTCAAAGTGATATTGAACAAAAAGAGAAAGATTGTGAGTCACTTCAGATTTCTCAAAGCAAGAAAGAAGAGACTTTTTGTTATGTTAAAATTCCGGCGGGCCGATCGAGAACAATGGATAGAGTGTCGGGTAAAGTTAACCACTTGCATATAAATTCAAGATCCACTATTCTAACTCAAAAGCTTAACCTGATAAGTAGGGTTTCACTCTTCTATATATGCTAGTAATATTCATCTTTATTTTCTGATTTGGGAACTCCAACACTCCCCCTCGAGTGCTAACTAGTCTAACCTAGTTAGCACCTGGACAAACGGGTCTAGCATCTCAATCTCTTATAGCAATCAACGCAACGGGCGATGACATCTTAATCTCTTTTTAGCTAACTCAACCCAAACTACAGACGGGTAGCTCATTTTCTTTTGCTAAACCCACGTCCAACAACCAGGATGAATCGAACTCAAACTGAACCACATTTAAAGATTGAATCCAATCGATTAGTTAGTTAAACTCAAGAGCTTATATGTTGATTATTTTACTCTTGAATTTTCGCTGTGGGATGCACTCTAACACCCCCCCTCAAATGAGCAACCAGACCATTCTGAATCTAACCGGTTGACCACTTGTAAATACACTCCCACTCCTTCATTTTTTTGAGCGCCAACACCTCAAGAACCACGAGCCGCTGGGTATGGACTTCCAGACGAGCAATCGTGTTAAACGAGCCACATGTCGTTGGGTAGATACTCCATACGGACAACTAAACTAAAGACTAACGGGCCGCTAAGAATGAACGTCTAGACGGACTCATTGACAAACGAGATGAGCCAAAACCTGCTCCGATACCATGATTAAATTTAGGATGAGGTAAGGATCACTGGATTGGGTAATAAGACACTTAAGCTGAACCACATCAAAAAATAAAAATATATTTTACAAGTGATCAACCCGTTATATTCGAAATGACTCGGTCGTCCACTTGAAGGGAAGTGTTGGAGTTCCCACAACAAATAAAAATTTTTGTTGTCATAGTAAAAAAAGTATGCTAAGTAGCTAAGTAGATCTTATGAATAAAAACCTTATTCCTTGAACTTATGCATAAAGCATTTTAAAAACTCTATCAATCTCACAACTTTATTCTCTCTCTTCAATTCTTTTGATGTTGCAATTATTGGTGTATTCAAACGGGACATGAACTAGTAGATTTTCAAACACCATTTGTTTCTCCCATTACAGCAAATATTAGAGTAGAGCGTCTGGAGTTGAATATGGATACACACACACGAGGGTACAAATGGAATTCATCAGCACGCCCATTGATTAGACCCCTTCTGTTTCCTTGTCAAATGTACTCCGTCCTAGCTGAGAAATTCCTCTCTCTCCCTAAATATTTGTCACATTTGTATTCCCGAGGTAAATATCAAGTTTTTTCAATTCATTTTATTTACATATTGGTATAAAATAAAAAATAAAATTTACATATCAAAAAACTACATGAATAGTTCTTCGAAATAAGAGGTGTCAAGAATA